TACGACTAGCAGCACGACCACTACCGTCTCCTCAGCCGCAATGCTAGACACAGCGGTGTCACAGCTGCTGGTCACTTCGCAGGCAGGTGTCTACCGCTGCCCTCTGGGATCCAGGGACCTGGGTTTGTCCAGTTGCGTGCTGGTTGCAGCCGCTGGTGCCGAGCTCACGGCGCCCGTCAGGGCCACCGAGGGTCCGGGCACAACGGTGCTCGTGGCTGACGGCTCCAAGGTTCTGCGCTGCGACCAGGTGAGCCAGGCCGTCCCGCAACCAGTGCATGTAGTCTATGTTAGAGCAAGCATACGAGACTGGATGCTAGATGGCAAATAAGTTACCACAGGGCATACACCGCGCAGCGTAATTGCACTGCTGTACACTACAGTTCTGGTAGTGCACAACAGGCTGGGCCACAGTGCGAGACTGTGGTGGACCTGCAGGACGACGTGAAGGGCGTAATTTTCAACGTTGACGCCAGATCCCAGTTCGCCAGCGGAAGTTATGTTGTCGTGACCACCGCATCTTTTGGAAGCACACCAAGCTTCCAGTCCTGTGAAGCCGCAGCGGTGGCATCCCAGCAGAACTGCCGCGCTTTCGACAACTACTACAGCTTCTCTACCGGGCAATCCATTGACGATGTGCATGTCGATGTTCTGCTTCGTGACATCCAGAATGTGGTAGATGATCTGTTCGCGCACGTAGCCGTCTTAGGCACAATTTATCGCTGTCGCCTGGACTTTGGAGCACAATGTCAACGGGTATCACATCCATCATCTACCATCTTCGCCACATCCATCTTCGTCAAGGGAGGACGTATCTATGGACTTCGGGCCAATGCGGGTGACACCAACACCCCCATCTTTGTGTGCGACACGTATGAACAATCCACCATCAATTGGCACCAATGTACACCTAGAGTGCTCCGAACCCTCTCTGGTGTGGGACGTGGCCTGGCTATAGACCAGGACGACAATTTCATCGTGTCGCGACAAAGCTCCGGGGCGCCGAGTGAAGTGGTGAGGTGTCCACAAGATCCCGCAATCCAATGCGAAGTACTTGTGGTAGGTACAGAAGGTGAACCAATCGCTGATGTGAGCTTGTTGTATGCTTATCCGGAAGCATGAGCACAGGTCTCTCGACTCTCCACTTGTACTGGGGCCGGGATGCACCGGGCATTTCATGTTAATCGACCCCCAACTGGTGCTTTTCAATCAGCCCGCAAAGGGCATTTTAAATTTTAAATACTTGGTTTCGTTTGCTAGCAATGTGTGCTGCCTTACGAAGGAAGGCAGCAAACATAAAGAAGTGTGTAGCGAAGACCTCTGCAGAGGAGGCCCAGGCCTCACTAAAAGACCGATTTTTGCGTTGCCTGCCTGTTTGAAAAGTGGTGTTATATCACTGCTACGTGATTGGACATATGGTTCTTGTGACTTGTCCGAGATGTTGTTATTATTCTGGCGAGTGTCGCATGTATGCATAGTGCCTGCGGCTGCTGGTAAACTTGGGTACAGCTTCGCGGCAACCCGAGCGCACAAGGCGTGGCGTAACAAGGATGCGAAGACACCTGACGGTGGGAAATGTTAAGTTTGAGCCGCTGTTGCAAACGAACGCGTTACATCAGCAAAGGTAAAAGCATTAATGTATGACATACATTGTACACATGTATGTATATACTGAGTCAAAAGAGCAGCGACATGTTCTGTGCATGTCTTGCATTTCCGTTAAGGCTCTAGGCCCGAACTCTGATCCTGCAGCCCTCAGCCACAAAGACTCACTTTGTCCGATGTAGGCAATTACTTAGGACCCTTTGGGCCACGGGCCTCTAGGAACGGGAAGGTAGTCGAAATCGCGAAAGAGAAGTGCGATGGTGTGGATGTCTTTCTCTTCAAGGCCCTTCTGCGCAGGGTTGTTCTAAACAATCTAAGACGGGTTTAGGGTTCAGGATTTAGGGTGGTTATATTTAGGATGTAGGGTTTATGGGGACGTCTTTCTGTCTGCCCATCTGTCTATCGATTTGTCCATCGATCTATCTCTATCTGTCTGTGCCTCTGATTGTCTATCAGTCGGTAGATCTCTCCATCTATCGTTTTATCTCTCCATCTCTCTAGCTATCAATCTTGGTTTTTTCTGTTGGTCCGTCTGTCTGTCTCTATATAATAATATATATATATATACATATATATTTCTGTCTGCACTTCTGTCTATCTCTGTAGCGGGGGCCTACAAGGGCGTTACAATGGGGCTGGATTGGGTTCATCTTGGCAAAGTGCTTGTTTGGTTGACAGCAACAGGTAGCCTTTTCTGGACCCCAAAAGTTTGTAGAACAACAGCCTTTTGGAGGTGTTGGGCCATCATTTTACCTACGTTGGCTAAAATCTAAACTCCCTGATTAGACCTCAATCCCTAAACCCTCAGACGAACCAGAACCCCAAAGCCACACGGCAACCAAGCGCAGCGCAGACGAGGAATCAGGGGGTCATATGTCTTAAGGCTTATCGGGCGGAC